GGCAATCGCCAATCAAAATTACTTTTTACTCCCTTCCAAAAACTCGGTGACAAAATCAAAAATCGAAAATTAAAAAAAAAATACATCGATTTTCTCGATATTTTTAAAAATCGAATAATTGAAAAATCGGAAAACTGCCAAAATTGTAGAATTAAAAAATCGAAAGTTTTTTTCAGTTGCCCAGAGAAATCAAAAATCGAAAGACAGGTCAAAAAATTGAAAATTTAAAAAGCGAGAAATTGAAAAATTCGAAAGTTGAAAAATCGAAAAACTGAAAAATTTGGTGGTACTCCCTACGATAAAACTGATTTTGGTAAATGATCTACAATATAAGAAAACAAAGGGCGGGTGGGTGGGGCTAGCACTTGCCAAATAAACCACCCTCTAAGAAAATAAAATGCGTGTGGGACTCATTTTGGTCAATGACTTACTTACTCTTTTAAGAAAATAAAGAATAGGTCATCTGCCAAAATCAGTCTTATCTTGGCAAGTATGAGACTGATTTTTGCAAATGACATATCCTCTAAGAAAATAAGGGTGGGTGGTCGGGGCTTGTACTTGTTAAAATAAGACTGATTTTGGCAGATGACCCACTCTTCTAAGAAAATAAAGGGTGGGTGGGCGGGGCTAATACCTTTTCTTAGAAGAGTAGGTCATTTGCCAAAATGAGTCTTATTTTGGCAAATAGTAGCCTGGCCCACCTGCCTTTTATTTTCTTAGAGGGTAGGTTATTTTATTTATATCCAGTTTCGACGATTTTCAAAATTTAAATACTTTTTCTTGTAGATTGAAATATAACAATTTTTAAAAATTTCAAAAAATTCAATACAACACCTACAGAAAGAACTTGCGTCATTTTTGCAAGTAAGTGCATGTTTTCAAGTTCAATTCGGATTGCAGAGTTTTTATTCGGATTAAAGAGGTATTGACTTCAACTAGCCTCTATCTCCTAGATTTTTTTGTGGAGTTTTAAGTAACTTAAGGAAAATCTGCATTTTTTAATAGATTATGAAACTTTTTGCTTTTTTTTAAGAAAATAAAGGGTAGAGGGTATATCATTTGGCAAAATCAGTCATATCTTGGTAGATACTAGCCCCAAAGCCACCCACCCATCCACCTTCTCCTTTCTTAGTACTTGCCAAGATGAGACTAATTTTGGCAAATGACATACCCCCTAAGAAATTAAAGAGTAGAGGGTATATCATTTGGTAAAATCAGTCATATCTTGGTAGATACTAGCCCCAAACCCACCCACCCATCCACCTTCTCCTTTCTTAAAGGGATTACTGTATAGTCGTGGGTTCGGATTATAGAGCTTATACTGTACTTCAAAAACAAAACAAAAGGGGCCCTCGAGATTCTTTTAAACTACTTCAAAAACCAGACGCAAAAGAGGTCCCTGAGATTCTTTCTACCTACTTCAAAAACCAGTACATGAAGTCCCCAAGATTCTTTCAAACTACTTCAAAAACCAAAGACAATGAGCCCCCGAGATTCTTTCAAACTACTCCCAAAACAAAAGTGGTATGTTAACCCAAACATCCCGCCTTAAATTGACATGTGAAAAAAAATTGAAAAACCTGCAAAAATTTGGCCTTGGCTATGGTTATCTAATAAATGGAACGTTGTGTTCGTTTTTTTTTTTGTGGCGAAATGCGTAAAGATGCAAAGTGTGGACCCCAAAGTTGGAAAAGTACCGCTAAATAAAACACAAAATATATGGAGGACACAAATCGTTTATTCCTCCAAAAAAAGCTGGCAGAGCGTTATAAGAGTGTGGCGATCGAACTATATCAATTTCTCTCTAGAGCAGAGTAAAATTACCCATAGATGGCGTTGTAGCACGAGCGGAGTTTGGGGCTCCTGGTTGTGGCTGTCCTCCCACCACGACGGTGATTCTACTCAATCGGCAAGCACATGCCGCTCAGCACCCCTCTACCACAAAGAAACGTGCCGCGATAACAGGCCGTTATGGTCCCAAACTCGTGGTTGGAAATCCCGGCTATTAGGACAAGCCGCCAGCGTCACGTCATCCCGACCGCTCCCCTGACTTCTACTCTAGATCCGCGTTATTTGTGCAAATGGCGCGATAAATCCCGCCAGCTCGACTAGGAACCGCGCCCTCCGCTTCTGCTATTATTTACCTCAATTCCATTTAAATGTTCGCTTTCTATAACTCTGGTATTAAAATACAATCGACTTATGAAATTTTAAACAGCAAAGAATTCTTATCTGAGATCAATATGATGGAAGCATCAATCAACAAAATATTTAGTAAAGATTTATACAAACAAAAAAAGAACTTGTGCGGACAAAGAAAAACACGTGAGGTTAGGAACTGTAGAGCATACATATTTACGTTCAATTTAAAGCATACAGCCAAGAGAATTACTGAGGCTAAAATTGTGAGATACAGAAAAATTGCAAAGCTAACAAAATTACATATTTGGCACACTTTATCAACGATTTAAAAAAAGAATATACATGATGTTAAATGATGCCACACTTTATCAACGATGATCCAAGTGACTGGTTACTTAAAACAATTAGCTTTGAGAGTTTATATCGTGAAAATGCATCCCTCGTCGCGAGAAATATGTCTCGATGATGTCCAGAGGATAACTGTCTAAGCGGAAAATTTAGTCCCCCGTCACTCAGTGCAAGATATTGTGAATCCTAGCGCACTTTCCACGGTCCATTTCTCAGAGTGGGACAACGTCAGGTTAGTTTAACTGCCGTAAATGAACCATTAGCAATCTTGTGTGAGGAATTAAGAAGTGTTATAATGTAACACTTAAGTATAAGCATTCAGAAACCTTATTTATAACTTGATAACAAAGTATGAGACCTGACTAAGTGAATTTCATGAAATCGCCTAGCAAGTGCTTTATCTGAATAATCTATTATCAAATTTGCATCACGTGTTAGCGTGTGGCGTCCTCATCGTTACGATTAATTTTCGTTAAATAAAAGCTTCCGCCTTTTTCTAACTACCAACCAATTAAACTTAATCTAGTTTCCTTATCGCGTGCTTTCACTCGCCAAAACAAAAAAACAACCACAAATTCCCTAGCAGAGCTACCAACTACCCAAAAATAACTAAACGTGCACATGGTTGCGTGTGTCAAACTACTTCAAAAACTTCAAACTGTATCTTCTGTAAAAGAAGTTTTAAATGTAGCAAAATTTCACGAATTCAATTTAGGAACAAGATCTCACGTCATACAACTCATCAAGTAGATCACAAGACAACATTTATTTAAACCTGAATGAACGAAGTTGTAACGGAGGAATGTGGCGAGCTTTTTCTATGAACGTCTCCCAAATAAGGTGGCAGGCGTTGATAATTTATTATCACGAAATAATAGTTTTGTAAATTAATTTATCATCAATTTTTGCTTGCCTCAGGATATGACCCGCCTTTATGAAAACCACAACGTGAACAACCGGTGAGCTTGAGCCTACTTACCTATAAATGTGGATTTTTACAAAGTCATAAATCTAATCAAAACACATTGTAACCGTGTTTAAACACTGAAACTACGTAGTTTCACATTGTTAACAAGTATCTTTGTCAAAATAAACGGAATTTACAATTTAAAAAAACAAATAAATAAAATATTTGTGCAAACCATTACCTGACCGACACATGCACCATAGTTTTTGTCGATATTTCAAAATTAAATAATTCCGCCGTGTTTTCAGAATTTACGTGCGGTAAAATTCAATCCCGGTTTTTTTGATCAGTCCAAAAATAAAGCAGACGAGTTAATTATGTTAGATTCACGAATGTGATCGCGTTTTTTGATAGACTACTTTCTTCAGGCAATGACGTAGATGCGGTCCACTGGATAAATACTTTACCGTTAAAATTTTAGTGTAGGTCAATTTCTAGGTCATGTTGTTATTTTTCAAACGTTAAGTTCGGCGATAAAAAATTAATTCATCGACTTCACGTAATCCGGAGAAAGGTGGGTTATTGTAATTAAATGGCATCTTCAATGCAAATATAGGATTTTTTTTCATCTTAATTGATTTTTTTTGGAAGATTTAGGTTTTTTTTTTGGAGGCTTTAACGGAATTTGAGTGTCGTTAAGTTTTTGTAAATGTTTTTTGTCACCAAAAATTAGTGTTACGTGGGGAAAAGTTAGCTCTTTTATTTAATGGTGTATTTAAATAATCATATGGAAAAACCTGCCGAAAATTTTCGATAAACAAAGAAAAAATTAATTGCGATCAAAAAAATTGGCGTTGTATTCTCTTTAGAACGGATATGTCTGAAGAAATTATCAAGGTCGAGCGGACATAGCAATGTTTGGTAGTTTTCCCACAATCAAAAAACTCGTTAGAGAACAGGTCGTCTGCAACGTGCCGTGCGGAAACTGCCGTATTTCTTTGAAAAGCGGGTCATCAATGGATCTCCGCCTTCACGAAGTCTTACTTAATGGTCATCTTGACCATGCGGTAACACACATGTCACAGGATACAGAATTTAGGTAATGAGTCTGCTGTCAAAATCAACAACATGTTTCAAAATGCATTTTCCAGTTTATTTAAATTTCAAGATTCTTAAGTATATACAAAAATACTATACAACTTTAAAACCTAAAGAAACGCGTAATTATGTATTATATACAATGATAATAAACGACATTTAGTACAGTAATACAATTACATTGTTTGAAACTGGAAAAAACGCAGAATAGAGAGCCGCGACGGTGTATTACGATTTGTATTATTGCAACTCTCTTGGAAACTTCGCTCAACTTCCACAAGTCGTTAAGTACAAACAACCGGCAACGATTTTATGCGACTTTTAACAATAAGCTAAAGCTACTAGAACTGTGATAAAACTTGAGGCACTAATGGCTCGAAAACGAACTAAAATACACCTTAAGCATGTGACACAATGTAAAAATGGTCCCTGCAGCCATAAACCGTAAGAATTACACATCCATCCTCACACAAAAAAATCAACCGAGGAAAGAAACAACAACACATAAAATTTGCAGTATCTAATAAATAATGTATAATTAAACAAGTAAATACAAAAATTTTGTACCCAGAATTTGATAGCGTAACAGGTTAAATTTAGTCGAGCTTCTTCGACTCGCGCTGCACTATGAAGCCGTTCGTGCTGCCATTCGAATAGTACGCTTTGTACGAGTCCGAGTACTCGCTCTTGATGTAAGTGTTGTTGAGAGTACCGTTGCTGTCGGACTTTTTGATTGTACCATTTTGAGACTTCTCGTCTTCGAGGACAGGCTGGAAAAAACAAATAGGAAAAAAGCGACTCGTGCCGGTCGACGTACCATGCAAGCTCCGGTGTTTCTATTCTTCACAGCCGATTTATCGTTGGTGTATTTCACTTTGTAGAAGTCCGAAAACAAGAATAAGAACAAGACGCCGTGGAGCGCGATCCAGATCATGAACCCTTTGGGGTAGTTACACTCGGTGAAGAGGAGCTGGAATTGATGTGCGAAAATGGCGACGAATTGCACCTGAAAAATTAACCTAGTTACAAGTTTTTTTTATTTAATTTGTTACCATTTGGAAAGTAGTGAGATACTTCTTCCACCAAATGTACTTCTGGTATTCAGGACCCATTGCTGATACCATGTAGTAAAAGTACATGACAATATGTACAAAAGTGTTGAGCAAAGCGAAGAAGGTACTGTGACCCCCTAAAAAATTATTAGAAAATGCAGCCGATATAGTGTGGGGTTTTTTTCACCTGGTGCGAATTTCATCCCCATCCAGACGGAGAATGGCATGCAACCGTGATGAATGACGTGAAGTGTAGACACGTGACTATTTTTCTTGCGTAAAATGAAAAATAAAGTGTCGAAAAATTCTGTGAATTTGGAAAAATAATACCACCAGCACGTTCTAGCCATCTGTAAATAATTCAATGTAGTATTAGTAGAACCCTAGTAAAACGGAGTTCAATTTTAATTTTAAAAAACGTAGATGGTAATTTTCAAGACGTAATAAGATTTAAACGCGCGCTAAATACATCCGCACATTGTTTCTTCTTATGTCATTCGACGAAGTCGGTTCCCACAATTGAAAGACCTCATGAAATCGCTTTCAGTGCTAAATTTTTAACCGCTTACTTAATAATTTATAACTGACTTATTGTTGTGTTATAAGTGCGCAATTAGTAATTTAAGAAGGGTGACCCTTAAGTAAATTTTTGGGTTGGCAATTCTGAATTATTGGCACCAATGTTCACAAAAACCAAGTGGTGGCCCAAAATATGCACCTTTTATAGAGTAATGTGGAAATAAAATAATACATAATAAATTAATAATACGATTGAAAAATTAAAAATCGAGAAAAACATCAAAAAATAGCAAAATTTTGAAAAATCCAGAAAACCTGGAAATCAAAACATTAAACAATTCTGAAATTGAAAAATGGAAAAAACTAAAAATCATGAAATCGAAAAATCTAAAATATAAAAAACCGAAAAATTTAATGGAAAAACTGAAAACTGAAAAATTGAAACATGGTAAAATCGAAATATCAAAAGATCGAGAAATCGAAACATTAAAAATGAAAAATCAAAAATTAAAAATTCGAAAAATGGAAGAATGAAAAATCGAGAAATTAAAACATCAAAAATGGCAAAATTTTGAAAAATCTAGAAATCGGGAAGATGAAAAGTCGAAAAATCAAAAAATCGATTAATCGAAAAATTGAAAAACTGGAAAATCGAACAACCGAGAAGCTGAAGTATCAAAAAATTGCAAGATTTTGAAAAATTGAAAAGTGAAAAATAAAAAAATGGAAACGTCGGAATACCAAATAATCGGAAAAGTAAAAAAATCGAAATATTATACAATGAAAATGGGAAAAATCCGGAAATTGAAAAAATTCCAAAAATTGAAATGTTGAAAACCTGGAAAGTTGAGAAACCGGAAACTCGAAAAATTGAAATATGTACATATGTATTAAAAAAATTTAATCTGGAAATCAAAACATCAAACAATCGTAATATCGAAAAATTAAAAAGTGAAAAATCTACAATTAAAAATTCAAAAAACAGAAAAATGGAAAAACTGAAAAATCGAAACATCAAAAATAGCAAAATTTTGAAAAATCCAGAAATCGACAAATTGAAAAATTGAAAAATCCCAAAATTGAGAAGTCGAAAAATTTAAAAATTGAGAAATTGGAAAGTTGAAAAATCGAAAATTCAAAGAATCAGAAAAGTTAAAAATTGAATAATGAAAATATCGAAAAACTGAAAAATGGAAGAACTGAAAAATCGAGAAATTAAAACATCAAAAGATGGCAAAATTTTGAAAAATCTAGAAATCGGAAAGATGAAAAGTTGAAAAACTGAAAAATCGAAGAACCGGGAAATTGAAATATCAAAAAATTGCAAGATTTTGAAAAATTGAAAAGTAAAAAATAAAAAAATGGAAAAGTCGGAAAATCAAAAAATCGGAAAAGTAAAAAAATCGAAAGATAGGGCAATCAAAAATTCTAAAATTCAAAACATTATACAACGAAAATATTGAAAAATGGAAAAATCCGGAAATTGAAAAATTCCCAAAATTGAAATGTTGAAAAACTGAAAAAACGAAAACCTGGAAAGTCGAGAAATTGGAAACTCGAAAAATTTAAATGCATATTAACACTTAAATCTGGAAATCAAAACATCAAACAATCGTAATATCGAAAAATGGAAAAATGTAAAAAACTTTGAATCGGCAAATGGAAAAATCGAAACATCAAACGATAGAGACATCGAAACATTAAAAAGTGAAAAATCTACAATTACAAAATTCAAAAAACAGAAAAATGGAAAAACTGAAAAATCGAAACATTAAAAAATAGCAAAATTTTGAAAAATCCTGAAATCGACAAATTGGAAAATTGAAAAACTGAAAAATTTAAAAATTGAGAAATCGAAAAATTAAAAAATTGAGAAATTGGAAAGTTGAAAAATCGAAAATTCAAAAAATCGGAAAAGTCAAAAAGTGAATAATGAAAATATCGAAAAATTGAAAAATGGAAGAACTGAAAAATCGAGAAATTAAAACATCAAAAGATGGTAAAATTTTGAAAAATCTAGAAATCGGGAAGATGAAAAGTTGAAAACTGAAAAATCGAAGAACCGGGAAATTGAAATATCAAAAAATTTCAAGATTTTGAAAAATTAAAAAGTAAAAAATAAAAAAATGGTAAAGTCGGAAAATCAACAAATCGGAAAAGTAAAAAAATCGAAAGATCGGGCAATCAAAAATTCTAAAATTCAAAAAATTATACAACGAAAATATTGAAAAATGGAAAAATCCAGAAATTGAAAAATTCCCAAAATTGAAATGTTGAAAACCTGGAAAAACGAAAACCTGGAAAGTCGAGAAATCGGAAACTAGAAAAATTTAAATGTTTATTAAAAAACATTTAAATCTGGAAATCAAAACATCAAACGATCGTAATATCGAAAAATGGAAAAATGTAAAAAACTATAAATCGTGAAATGGAAAAATTGAACATGGTAAAATTGAAACATCAAAAGATCGAGAAATCGAAACATTAAAAAGTGAAAAATCTACAATTAAAAATTCGAAAAACAGAAAAATGGAAAAACTGAAAAATCCCAAAATTGAGAAATCGAAAAATTTAAGAATTGAAAAATCGGAAAGCTGAAAAATCGAAAATTCAAAAAATCGGAAAAGTCAAAAATCGGATAATGAAACTATCGAAAAATTGAAAAATCGAGAAATTGAAAAATTCTCAAAATTGAAATCTTGAAAAATTGTGAAAACGAAAGCCTGCAAAGTCGAGAAATCGAAAACTCGAAAAATTGAAATACATATTAAAAAAAAATTAAATTTGGAAGTCAAAACATCAAAAAATCGTAAAATTGAACAATGGAAAAATGTAAAATTTAAAAAATTGAAAAAATCGAAAATCTGAAAACGAAGAAATTGAAAAATTCAAAAACCGAAAAACTGAAATTGAAAAATTGAAACATGGCAAAGTCGAAACATCGCAAGATCGAGAAATCGAGAAGTCGAAAAATCGAAAAATTCAAAAATCTAAAATCGAGATCTCGAAACATTTCACAGTGAAAAATCTAAAATTAAAAATTCGAAAAATTAAAATATCGAAAAAGGAAAAATTGAGTAATCAAATATCAAAAAATAGCAAAATTTTGAAAAATTCAGAAATCGCAAAGATGAAAATTCGAAAAGTCTAATAATCAAAAATCGATTAATCGAGAAATTGAAAAATTGCAAAATCGAAGGAACCAAAAACCAAAATTGAAAAATCGAAAATCAAACATTTTAAAAATCGAAAAATTAAAAAATTTAAAATCCATAGATCGAGAAATCGCAACATTAAAAAGAGAAAAATCTAAAATTAAAAATTCGAAAAACAGAAAAATGGAAGGACTGAAAAATCGAGAAATCGAAATATGCACGTAAAATTTAAAAAATTGAAAAATTAATATATAGAAAAATAAAAAATCGAATAATCAAAACTTCAAAATTTTTAAAAATTCAGAAATCGGAAAGATGGGAAGCCGAAAAGTCTGAAAATCAAAAAATTGATCGATCGAGAAACTGCAAAATTGAAGAACTGAGAAATCGAACAATTTAAAAATTGAGAAATCGGAAAGTTGAAAAATCAAAACATTGAACAATGAAAATAGCGAAAATTTGAAAAATCCAGAAATTGAAAAATTCCCAATATTGGAATGTTGAAAAATGAAATGAAACCTGAAAAGTCGAGAATTCGAAAAAATTAAACACAATATTAAAACAATTTAAATCTGGAAGTCAAAACATCAAAAAATCGTAAAATCAAAAATGGAATGTAAAATTAAAAAAATTGAAAAACTGAAAACGGAGACATTGAAAAATTCCAAAACTGAAATGTCGAAAAACTGAAAAACCCAAAAAACTGAAGTTAAAAAATTGAAACATGGCAAAATCAAAACATCAAAATATCGAGAAATCGAAAAATTTTAAAAATCGAAAAATTGAAAAACCGAAAAATCCGAAGGCGAGAGCGAAGACAAAAAATCGAAATCGATTAGTCGAAAAATTGAAAAACCAAAAAATTTAAAAATCGCAGAATTGAAAAATCGAAAAATCAAGGATTTTAAAATCGAAAAACTGAACAGCCAAAAATTCAAAGATGAAAAAGCGGAAAATCCAAAGAACGAGGAACCGAAACATCAAAAAGTAAAACATCTAAATTTGAAAATTCGAAAAATCGAAAAATCCAAAAACAAAATCGAGAAATTGAAAAATCCCAAAACTGAAATGTCGAAAAATCTAAACAAACTGAAATCGAAACACCAGAAGATCGAGAAATCGAGAAGTCGAAAAATCGGAAACTTAAAAAAATTGAAACACTAGAAAAATCCAAAGGCGAAAAGGCGAAGAATCCGAAGATCGAGAAATTGAAACATCAAAAAGTGAAAAATGAAAATATCTAAAATGAAAAGAATTGAAAAATTAAAATATCGGAAAATGACAAATCGAGAAATCAAAACATCAAAAAAACATCGCAAAATTTTCAAAAATCGAAAAAGAAAAAATCAAAAACCTAAATATGTATTGAAAAATCGGAATATTGAAAAACCTTAAAATCAAAAATTCCAAAACAGAATCATCGAAAACTTGAGAAATCGAAAAGTCGATTAATCGAGAAATTGAAAATTCAAAAAATTTTAAACTAGCAAAATTGAAAAGCCGAAAAATCAAAAGATAGAGAAATCGAAACATCAAAAAATGAAAAATCTAAATTTATAAATTCGAAAAATTAAAGAATCGAAAAACAAAATCGAGAAATTGAAACAAGCCGAAATCGCAACACAATAAGATCGAGAAGTCGAAAAATCTAAAAATTGAAAACTTGAAAACTGGAAACACTAGAAATACAAAGAACTGAAAAACCGAAAAATTGAAAAATCGAAAAATCAAAAATTTTAAAAAACGAAAAATTGAAAAATCTTAAGGCGAGAAAGCGAAGAATCGAAAATCGACAAATCGAAACATCAAAAAGTGAAAAATTTAAAATTGGAAGTTCAAAAAATTTAAAGAAAGAAATCTCGAAATCGAAAAATTAAAATATCGAGAAATCAAGAAAATCGCAACACTTTGAAAAATTGAAAAAAAAATCTCAAAATAAAAAATTCTAAAACAGAAACATCGAAAACTTGAGAAATCGAAAAGACGGAACATCGAAAAGCCGATTAATCGAGAAATTAAAAAATCCAAAAATTTCAAAATCGCAATTGAAAACCGAAAGATCAAAAATTTTGAAAATCGAAAAATTGAAAAACCGAAAAATCTAAAGGCGAGAAAGCGAAGAATCAAAAGAACGTGAAATCAAAATAGCAAAAATTGAAAAATCTAAATTTAAAATTTCGAAAACTGGGAAATCGGGAAATGGGAATTCCAGAAAATTTTAAAAAACTGAAAAAGAAAAAAAAGTAAAAATACCAAGACTGAGAAATCGAAAAATCGAGAATTTTAAAAATCGTAAAAGTGAAATATCGGAAAAATAAGAAATCAAACAATTGTTATTCAATTTTGTTTTTTTCTAAAAAATTCAACACGCATCATAAACCACAAGTTCAGGTCCGGTCTGGTAATTTTGGATATTATCTATCTAATAATAAAAATCAACAGATAGTGCGGACACACAGATGGAAACTGAGACCTATTTTTTAGTGCTATAGAGGTCTTGAAAGTCGAGAAAACATGAAGGTCAGTTGCCCGACAGACTCGATTACGATTACTCGATTACTTTACTTAGCTTACGAAATACAGTATTAAATTTTGTCGTCATCTTCCCCGAAAAATTTGTGACATCTCAAACAATTATTATTATATAACAGAATTTAATTTAAGAACGTTGAATTTGACATCAGATACGCCATCATAAAATTTTAAATATGTTGCCAACATAACAAAAAATCACATTAATAGTCACCCTGTACTTTTGCAGTTACAAAAAATTACTACTACAAGAATTTTTTTTTGCATCAATTATAAACAAACAGTAAATAAAAATTAAACATAAATAACTCAAAATTCAACAAGTTTCGGCACGACTGATATGGGAAATGAAATTGTGTAATTTATTTCGTAAGTATGTTCATTACAAAAATTCAAGTTCAAGTATACGTTATTAGGTCACTGGGTTAAATGCTACAACTGCAAGAAATATTTAAAATGCAAGTCATTATTATATATGTAGACTCAAGCTCTTAAGCAAACGATAGCAACATCTGTAAAATGTCTGCATTAAAAATAAAAGCGCAAAACTTAAAACATTTACTTTGAAATTGGAGAATGTGACTACGAAATATCAGTCGCACGTTCTTGATTTTAGTCAATCTAAATCTTCAATCTTTATTTCCTGCAGGAAGCCCTGAATACTGCGAGCCGCCAAAGGAGGTCAAAACAGACGAAATAAATAATTTTTATTAGATTATAAAGTGCTACATTTTTACAATCAGTAAATCATAATATAAAAGTTTTACATTCCTGCGTGAAAAATGTGCTTTCTAGGTTTGTCTAGTTCACGTTTAGAATGACAGCTTATAAATCTGCAATGAGTTTTTTACGAGATTTTGCTAAATTCGAACGACTTTAATTTTGACATTAATCACAGCCTTCCTGTTTCATAATTTCAGGAAGACCATATTAGAAACAAATCACGCCTTAACTTTTTAAAATGTCGTTTTTAACATCACCAAAAAACAACCAGGAAGAGTTTTTTTGTAATGACGTCATCAATTTTTGGCGGGAATGAGTGAATACTTAAGCTCATGCATACGAATTAATTAAGTTAGTCCACTTTTTGCCAATAACCACTACTCCTAAACACCTTAATTATCCACTTACACGCAAAGCCATCGGACTATTCGAATAATCGACAGGCTGACACCTGAAGCTGTAACTTCCCCACCATCCGCTCATTAAGTACTGAAAAAAAATGTCCAAATTTGCCATTAGATGCGCTCCACAAACCTCAATGAAGTACATTCTTTTGTTGAACTCACCTCATAAAATATCCATGCGCTGAATAACGTTTGTATAAAATTATAAAAAATTAAAACTTTCCTTAAGTTAAACGGTTTTCTATTTTCCATAAGTTTGGGTCCCAGTACTGTGGAAAAATAGGCGTAAAATAGACAAATCAGCAGCGTCGGAATCGGACTCGCCATCATAGCCCATCCTTTCACCCTCGGATCTGGAAGCAAAATTTTCGTTAGAATCCGAAATTCCAAGAGAAAGCGACACACTTTTAACGTTATATCATAGCAAAATTTCCATTATGGTAACCGATTTTTGGTGACTCGGCATTTACATAATTAACGACTGCTATAATTCGGCAGTTTAGTTTTTCGGATTCCAGAAGATTCGACTTTGGATGCTACTAGTAATAGTAGCGCGATAGAAACGTGAACACCCACCACAATTCTTATTTAGATGATGAGCAAGGTCAATTATATTATAGTTTCGAACAGCAAAAATGTGTCCAAGCGCGAATTAAATCGTCAATTATTTTTTATTTTAAAGAAAACGATAGGCGGGCTGCATTCCAAGCGGCTTTTTAATACTAGTTCCTGTCTAAATACCGACACGTTTACTTTACATTAGCGATTCCATCGATTCTGTTACTGGTGAAATGCTCACTGTCGAATCTGTCCATCATTCTGTGTCTAGTTTATTGTTCGGGTTATATTTTTTACGTCGTTTTTAACAAACGATATTTAAATTTCATGTATCGCTGCCTAATAAAGTGTGTTTGCAAATGCACGGAATAATTGACGAAAACGGGGCTTAATCTCTAGCCGGACATTATCCACTCTATTATCACATTCAAACCAGTTTTATATTGAAGAACACTTCAGAATTAAAAGGTTCATGAAACGAGGAAAGATAATGAAAGTTACCCCTGCGCACTAATAAAGGCACGGTTACACAGCTCGAGTTTGCCAAGTCGCGCTTGACGATTCATAGCAATCAAGTAGACCGCGTTAACAACAACTATAAATTTTGAAGTTTCGTTCTTAAATCTTGAATGATTAGAATATTTTGCTTGCATTAATGTGCTTTCATAAATTGATCATGTACGGTACGCGAGTGAATTTCAATGACGCAAAAGAGACACCAAAGGAAAATGTTATATAAACAACTCTCACCTCTTACAATAAATTAAAACAAATGTTTAAGGAGTGTAATTTATAAACAAAAATAGGTTTGCGGTGGTTTATGCCTTGTGAGCTCAAGGTTAATATCCTCCAAAGAACATTTTCGTTGGCACCTTGTTTCATTCATCGGTTTCTTATTATTTTTTATTTTTTAATTTCGTACGTACATAACAACATAACTAAAAATAAAAAGTGTATTTATGGGACACCTTGCAACAGTCCAGCGTTTACAAACAAATAAATCTGCACAACAACAAATTGTAAAGTAAACATTGGGTTTCGTAACACCAAAACAACGAAAGATTAATAAATAACCAGTCGTTAATAAAAAGTGACAAGTACTATGAACACCTTAAAGTCCATCTTCCTGGACACTAAAATTTACTACCAATCAATAAAACAGCGTCTGTAATAAATTTCAAACCGACTTCAACCAACTTTAATTGTATGTGAAATTTTTTCAAAACACGTAACGTCCATTAAATTTTTCCTTCGACTAAAATCAGTCGGTTCTATAAAACAATATGCAAGAAGTTAGAAAGCATGCACTTCCTGTAAACAAAACAAATTACTTTCACTCTTAATTGAAATTAGTCGGAAAAAGCCCTACGTCGGCACTTTAGTCCAAGAAATTACAGTGTCAGTGTCAGCTATAAAGTGCCAATGTCACTATAATCGCAGCACCAAATTAAATATGTCCCGACCTTTCTTAATTATAAAATATTGCGTAAGAAACCAGACGCATGAACGCATTTACGCATCGCGCCCGAAGAAAGTGAAGTCTAGGCGGCAAAAAGCCAGCCAGCCAATCCAGGTCGAATGATACAAACATCAGATGAAAGTTGAAAATATTGACTCAAACAGGTTGCAGTGTCTTCGGTTTTATGTAACCATTTCTTCGAACGATTGCGGGGAAAATGGATCAAATTACGTAAAATATTCATTTGGTCCGCCTACGGGCTTTTTACTTACCGCCTTTGTCTAGAATGCCGTGGTAGTTATCAAGTGCACTCGTTACGAGGTGGGCCATCTTGTATTCTGAAACAAAAATGGATTTTGTTATGGGTTTGTTTGCAAAGAGGAAAATTGAGCGGGAAACGGCGCCGAGGTCGAATAAGGTCAAATCGATAATTCGACAGGGGAAAAGTGCTTTACTGCATAGATTTTTTCTATGGCGAATGAGTACGTAGTGCAAAATTTTATTTTTCAATCGTTACCTATACACATGATTCAACATCCTTGAAATATCTGATGACAACGCAGACTTTTAATTAGTCTGTCCATAATCTTATTAATACTAGATCAGATATAGTATCTACAAGTGAGAATTTCGTTTCATTAAATTTCTTGACGACATTGACATTTTTTGGTGATTCACCTCAGTCTGGATTACAATTTTGTGCGAAACCTAATTCCTCTAACCTCACGAATGTTTCACTCTCGCAATTCGCTCGGCCATAAATAGCTACTAAACCTAGATTGGCGCACATGTGCGATCGTGCCATATTTTGACAAAATGCAGATGTTAAATGAGCGAAACTAGTTTTACAAAAGTGTAACAATACGGAAATTGTGACGGCGGAAGTGGTGCTTGTTTCGACCCTCACTCTTACGTAATTACCTTTTACTGCAAAAGTTCAACTAAGTTTGTAATCAAAATTTAATTACGAGATGGATTTAGTCGTTTATTAGTCCTGGTATCCTTGGAGGCGCTGATATCCTTCCATTTCGCTTGGAGGTACTTCCTGAATAAATTCTGTTTTCTTCGAACGAATATTAATCAATGATCAGTTCAATCCAAGTACAAATTGATTTTTATTGTTGCATAACAGCGATTTTGATAAATAACAACAACAGAGTACCACTCAAGTACCGTTGACAATTTCGAGTGCGTAAATATTCGTCTGATTGTACCAAATCTCGGAATTATGAAATCAAAGCGTTTTTAAAATATGATGTATGCATGAGTAATATTATCTTATTTATATTAAATACTTACGTAAAATTTAATTTTCTGTAAATTTTGTACAAATATGTGTAGCAATTCCAGCGTATTTGCTACAAGCACACACCTGTCTGAAACAATCAATAGAAACTTTGGATGTTTAATTTCATAATTACTTTTCGCAGTAAATTTCGAACGCGCTTTGACGTTTTTAAAACGGAGGTTTCAACCTGGAAACAAATTTACTTTGCATCGTAAATACGTTCTTTGCTAAGACAAATAATTTTGAGTGAATCACTGAAAAACAGCTTTACGTAACTTATATTTAAAATGGAGACACTTTACGTGTGGGGATTTCCTGTTTGCAGGGTAAATTTGCGCCTGCAAAGGAAAACAGGGTTATTATAATGCTAACAGGTTTTGCAAAGTCTTACCTTGTAAAAAAGTGTAACTTTTAACAAAAATGTGACAAGTCGTTGACAAAAAAATACAACAAATATCATTATTGACGTGACTTTGCGTGAAAACCTTGTCAGTCTAATCTTCCTACTAAATAAAATAAACAATTTGTTTAATTAAATTTTTTCAAGATTTTAACGTAGTTGAAAATACGGAACTAATTTAAATCGCCTAGTCATGCTATTTAAAAAGTGAATTGCAACGCCAAATCGGAAGCGAATTCTTAACCTATTTACCACTTCGACCCCTATTGTACTCAAATTGAGTGTCAGAAGGTCAACTTGCTAGAAATTATCCAAACAAGCAAAATAAAATTTCTAGTTTTTTACATTCTTGTTAACCCTGAGCCGCGAAAATTTTCCAACTCCTAACACGTTTCAAACGCGAAATGCTTAATTTTTATCCGAGTTGCGTACGTAACACAATGGAGGTCACTATTTCGTATTACAGTTAATACCTTTATCAAAAATATCCTCTGTTATCAGATAAACCGTTGATTCACTCTCTACGTATGCACGAAAATCATCACCCGAATTATTCGAACTCAGGGAAACGTCCTTCTTCGAATGTTTAATCATCAATCACAGTCGAAATTATTCCAACCACGAGGAACCAAGTGCGTTTCCGCGATAATTACGAGTTAAACAAAAAATTTTAAATGACGGGTCAATGAATACGCATGATTTCCTTTATTTTAGCATGAAGACCACGTCCACGACGTATTCAGGTCGTTACCTAAAATGTTGAGTGTTCGCAAAGTCACAACGGTGTTCGCTGACAAACACTGCAGAACTGTCGGAACTATTTAACATTTTTTGCTTTATCGAAAACCAAAAAAAATTATGACGCGATTATATAATTAATACATTTCCATTTACATAATGTTTTGAAATTTTAATTAGGGAGAAATGTGTACAGCGACGTCTTGGCGAGGTCAAAAAACATTTTTTTCTATATATTTGTATTCGATTAATATGCATTGTTAATATTTATTAACGTATTTACGTGTAGACATTATTATGTACAAGACGCAGTAACACTTTTCAGGAAAAAAATGTTTTGATGTTATAGCGTATAAAGATGAAGTTGGCCACGGGCAGATTCCGTTTACCGCCAACGCCAAACTAAAACATTATTTTGACGTCAAGGAGCGACGTTTGTTGTTTTGTTTGCACTAAAGGAAGATTAGTAACGGGATAAAGTTAGAATTCGCGCAATCTGTTGGATACCGTGCTGGAAGTTCGTCTGGCGAAGAGAACGTAATCAAGATTAACGAGGAGCTTAAAAAATGTTTGTGCTCATGGTGGCCTCAATCGAAGAAATCGAATGGTCAACACTATAATGAAATTGTAATCAAGGTGATGTTGATCACCATGCAAGAGATGTTTTAGTTGATTTAACCAATCAACGAATAATCTGGTTATCGGCCAAGTGCGGTAAACAAAGTGCCAAATTATAAAAACACTACAAGCGTTTAGTGTAATGATGGGGAGGATAACGTTTAAGAACTTTGTGGTCAGTAGGTAACGAATGTTTTATTGCATTTGTGTCGTAGATCTTTACTGTTTTTTTTTTTAATAAAAAATGTTTTCTTGTGACGTAAGAACACAATATGGTATGCATAACTGAAAATAGTGGAACGAATGCTGGGTAAAGAATGTCAGCATTTGCCGCCTTGTTGAAACTGGAATTAATCGAACCGATTATTAAATTTATTATGGTTTAAATGCTGAATGATATTACGAAGGCCAGCGACAAGTTTGGACAAATTTAAACCTCTTGTGGCATTCGAGTGTGACCGACAATTCTCGGCTTGTTTTTTTCTTAATGTACATAGTATTCTTTGAACAACACGACACTCAAAAACATGTTTTTTATTTCTTGTAGAGAAATAAGGATTTTGCAATTAAGCTCCGCCCCCTTGACTCACTACGAATAAAAATATCGTCACAATTGAGATAGGGCGGGTGGGCGGGGTTTATATTTTGACTTTTTTGTAACATGTGTATTGTGTAGTCATCTTTTCACAACAAGAAACTTAAAACATGTTTAAAGTGGTAAATTTGTATAGGGAAATATCGATTTTGTAATTACGCTCCGCCCCTCAGTCTGACAACGAATGAAAAATAAGGATTTTACAATTAACCTCGACCTCTCGATTTACGACGAATAAAAAAAATCATCAAAATTAAAATAGGGTGGGCGGGCCGGGCTTATATTTTGCCTTTTTCTTCTTAATATACACACACATCTTTTCACAACAAGCAACTTAGAACATGGTTAAAATAGTACATTTTAATTTATAATTATTACATTACTATATCGATTTTGCAATTAAGCTCCGCCTCATAATTGCAAAATCCATATTTCCTTACGCAAATTTTCCATTTTAAACATGTTTTGAAAAGAAGTGTACACATATTAAAACAACAGGGCAAAATATAAGCCCGCCCACCCACCCGCCTTATCTCAATTGTAATGATTTTTTTTACTTGCTGTGAACCAAGGGGGAGGAACTTAACTGCAAAATACTTATTTCTTTACAAGAAATTCAAAACATGTTTTTGAGTATCGTGTTGTCCAAAGAATACTATATATATTAAGAAAAAAAGGCTAAATATAAACCCCGCCCGCCCACCTCATCTCTATTGTGATGATTTTTTTTTTCTTAGAAACTTAAAACACGTTTATATTGGTAATTTTTTGTAAGGAAATAAGGAATTTACAGTTAAGCTCCGCCCCCTTGGCTCACGACGAAAAAAAATCATCACAATCGAGATAGGGCGGGTGGGTGGGGCTACATTTTGCCTTTTTTTTTTTCTTAATATACATAGCCATCTTTTTACAACAACAATATATATTTTGCTTTGTTTCCTAATATACGTAAAGTCGTCTTTTCAGAACAAGAAACTTAAAACATATTTAAAATGGTAAATTCTTGTACACAAATATGAATCTTAAAATTAAGCCCCGCCCTTTGATTTGACAACGAATGAAAAATTCATCACAATTGAGAATTGAGATCGGGGCGGGTCTGGGTGGCACTTAATCTTTGGATTTATTTTTTTCTTAATATACATAGTATTATTTGAACACCACGATACTCAAAACATGTTCGTCGGGGAAGAAGGATTTTGCAGTTAAGCTCCGCCCCCTTGGCTCACGACGAATAAAAAAAATCATGACAATTGAGATAGGGCGGGTGGGCGGGCCTGCCTACATTTTGCCCTTTTTTCTTAATATGTGTAGTCTTCTTTTCACAACAAGAAACTTAAAACATGTTTAAAATGGTAAATTTGTATAAGGAAATATATATTTTGCATGTATAACACGATTCCTTAAGAACATATCTCACATGGTAATTTCTCGTAGAAAAAATCAGGATTTTGCAATTAAGCTCCACCCCTCAGCTTACGACGAATAAAAAAAATCATCAGAATTGAAATAGGGCGGGTGTGTGGGGCTGATATTTTGCCTTTTTCTTCTCTTAATATACATTTTCATTTTTTCACAACAAGAAACTTTGAACATTATTAAAATGGTACATTTTTGCAAGGAAATATCGACTTTACAATTATGGGGCGGAGCCTAATTGCAAAATCGATATTTCCTTATACAGATTTTCCATTTTAAACATGTTTTAACTTTCCTGATATGAAAAGAAGTCTACACATATTAAAACAAAAAGGCAAAATATAAGCCCGCCCACCCGCCCGATCTCGATTGTGATGATTTTTTTTTATTCGCCGTGAATCAAGAGGGAGGAACTTAACTGCAAAACAGTTATTTCTTCACAAAAAATTAAAAGTTTCATAAAGTGAAAAAAAGTCTGCACACATTAAAACAAAAAGGCAAAATATAAGCCCGCCCGCCCGCCCTATCTCGATTGTGATGATTTTTTTATTCGCCGTGAATCAAGAGGGCGGAACTTAACTGCAAAATACTTATTTCTTCACAAAAAATTAAAAACATATTTTTGAGTATCGTGTTGTTCAAAGCATACTATATATATTTAGAAAAAAAAGGCAAAATATAAACCCCGCCCACCCACTCCATCTCATTTGTAATGATTTTTTTTATTCTTAGAAACTTAAAACAGGTTTACAATATGTAGTAAATTTTTGTAAGGAAATATGGATTTTACAATCAAATTCCGCTCGTTTGGCTCGCGACGATTAAAAGAAAATCATCACAATTGAGAGGGGGTGGGTGGGCGGGGCTTATATTTTGCCTTTTTCTTAATATACGTATTGTAGTCTTTTTAGAACAAGAAACTTAAAACATGTTTTTAATTTTTCGTCGAGGAATAAGGATTTTGCAGTTAAGCTCCGCCCTCTTGGCTCACGATGAATAAAAAAAAATCATCACAATTGAGATAGGGCGGGTGGGCGGGCCTGCCTACACTTTACCTTTTTTCTTAATATGTGTAGCCATCTTTTCACAACACGAAACTTAGAACATGTATAAAATGATAAATTTGTAATATCGATTTTGCATGTATAACACGATTACTTAAGAACATATTTCACATGGTAATTTCTCGTAGAAAAAATCAGGAGTTTGCAATTAAGCTCCACCCCTCAGCTTACGACGAATAAAAAAAATCATCAGAATTGAGATAGGGCGGGTGGGTGGGGCTCATATTTCGCCTTTTTGTCTTAATATACATAGCCATCTTTTCTCAACAAGAAACTTAGAACACGGTACATTTTTGCAAAGAAATATGGATTTTACAATGGTGGGGCGGAGCCTAATTGCAAAATCGATATTTCCTTATACAAATTTTCCATTTTAAACATGTTTTAAGTTTCCTGATGTGAAAAGAAGTCTACACATATTAAAACAAAAAGTCAAAATGTAAGCCCGCCCACCCGCCCTATCTCCATTGTGATGATTTTTTTATTCGCCGTGAATCAAGAGGGCGGAACTTAACAGCAAAATATTTATTTCTTCACAAAAAATTAAAAACATGTTTTTGAGTATCGCGTTGTTCAAAGAATACTATGTATATTAAGAAAAAAAGGCAAAATATAAACCCCGCCCACCCACTCCATCTCATTTGTGATGATGTTTTTTATTCTTAGAAACTTAGAACAGGTTTACAATATTAGTAATTTTTGTAACGAAATATCGATTTTGTAATTAAATTCCGCTCGTTTGGCTCTCGAGGATTAAAAGGAAATCATCACAATTGAGAGAGGGTGGGTGGGCGGGGCTTATATTTTGCCTTTTTTCTTAATATACGTATAGTCGTGTTTTCAGAACAAGAAACTTAAAACATGTTTAAAATGGTAAATTCTTGTAGACAATTAAGCCCCGCCTCTTTATCTGACAACGAATGAAAAATTCATCACAATTGAGAATTGAGATCAGGGCGGGTATGGGTGGGGCCTAATCTTTGACTTTATTTTTTCTTAATATAGGTAGTATTCTTTGAATAACACGATCCTCAAAAACATGTTTTTAATTTCTCGTACAGAAATAAGGATTTTGCAGTTAAGCTCCGCCTTCTTGGTTCACGACAAATAAAAAAATCATCACAATTGAGACAGGGTGGGTGGGCGGGTCTACATTTTTCTTTTTATTCTTAATATGTGTAGACTTATTTCGACAACAGGAAACGTAAAACATGTCTAAAATGGTAAAAACAATTTGCAGCTCTAAAAGTAACGTTAGCGGAAACAGCAACTGCAACGGGAACTTTAACGTGTGTTTTTTTTCCTCATTTTAGATATCTTTATATCCGTCAATAAAAAGGGTTAGAGAATCATGGCCAAGGTATTTGTATATACAACTTTTTATCACGATTGACGACGAATGACAGTGGATTTTTAGAGCCTATTTATTTTAAATATACAGTATTTAAAGTCAATTTTTGTAAGTGCCAATGAAGTTATCAATCGAGTCGTAGATAACACATGCAAAGTTAACACCTTATTTGTTATTCACACTGGAAAAATTGAATTATGCACTTGCAGAAAATTTAAAACAATGTCAAACAACAATAGTATTTTTATTAATACACGGGTCAATCACGAATTATTCGTACGTAAAAGTGACTGTCACAATTTTTTTTTTTTTTTTTGGACAACCGGCAGCCGAACATTGAGGTTAGGACCGCGCCACAGCCACCTCGATCCCGTAAATTAACCAACCCCCATTCAAGAACCCTAAATTGGACCACCGTGTACCGGAATGCAAGTGCGGCCAGTCCGGTCAGGCTCCGGCGCCCACTAACGACTTCTCGTGACGGCACCTAACCTCACACCCAACTGTCAAACGCCTTTTGGTAAATGGGTCGATCGCGTAAAATGGGCCACCCGAAGGGTGTGTCAATTAGCGAAAATCGCCACACCGTCCACAGCACACTCACCTGTTTTAAAGCTCGCGATAAAACTCCTCGAAACCGTTCCCCACTGCACCGACGGACTTTTCCGGGTTTTCACAAGCACACTGTAACTTTAAACCGGCGTGGTTCGGCCTTAACGGAAGAGTTTGGTTTGCAGTGATTTTGCGGGCGGTTATCACTGGTCTGAACACATCGTTGGTTTTTGATGGTTTTTTGTCGATTTTCGAGATAGGCGTGCCGAGGAACGACGAACACTGAGTCTCTCTCCGCCGTCTGACTCGCCTATTATCTTCTGGCTGGGGTTGGATTCGACGATGGTAGCGGTTATATATAGCGGGGAGTTCGTGCGTCAACGATCTTTACCGATGCGAGGTGATAAAGCTGCATTCACATGGTGGAAGTGCAGGACCGGATCGGAAATGAGGCGGCCCGGGGGGAGTGACGCGGCTGTAAGCGCCTATCAGAGCCTGATAATGGGTTTTTTGGAAATGTGTGAAAATATTCCAAATTGTACAGGGAAAATTGGCTGAGTAATGGAGTCGTACAGAGCGATGATGGACTAAATTAAAAATAAAATCTTCGACTAATAAAAAATTACGACTAGTATTAAAGTCGCAAACGAAACTTACTTACATAATTTATTAATCGAGTCATCCTTGGCGGTTTAACCACAGTGATAAACGTCACAAAATGACAAATGTAGTAATGTAGTAGATACAAACATGGCGAACACTGTTTAATAAAATTTTTAACGAGTAATACATAAATTAAATTAAATTACAGTAACTGCCGACAAGTCTCAAGAGCTCAGAGATCAATTATTTTCGAAACTTTGACCAAAGATTCGGTTGCCAAAAAAATTCCTTAACATTGCTATTGTGGCCCTTGCCGAATGCGCTGTAGTTTCGTCTTGTTAAAAATAACCTATTTCCATGCCATCGTCGGCAAATTGTCATTCCAAGCCGTTTGAATCGAGTATACCCACATACCCAGAGATTATCTTCTGTCCATTAGTAAATACGATGTTTCATGGATCCTAGAGTATGAAAAAGTAGGTCCGTTTTCATCCATCCGTCCTTGGAATTTTTTTCATTTACCTTTGCCGTCTAGATTTTGAAAAAAAAATTACTAAGGAGGAATGTTAAAAAAAAAGAAACAAGTTACGTTGTTGATTAAACCGACTTTTCTTGAAATTTTGGCATTTTTTTTTTCCAATATAAAATTGTATTCAAGAAAATTTCGAAGGAAGTATTCTAATAGGGTCCATCGGGAGACTGGTTAGTTTCATGTTTTCTCGACGTTTCATGACTCCAAGAGTACGGAAAAAGTGGTCTTCCGTTTCTGTCTGTCTGTTCTCTGTGTCAATCTTTCCCACCAGCTTTGACATTATCGGCAACTTTATTACAATAGTAAATGTTATTTAAATTTTATAAAATAACATTTGGGTGGAAGTGCATAGTAAAAAATATTTATTGAATTTTCCCGAAGAATACTTTTTTATAAAACATTTTCTCACTTCTTTCAAAATATATTGCAAAATCGGCTTCAAATTCATAATCTACTCGATAAGTGAAGAATTTTGACGTTTTCAAAAAGTTTTTCGGAAATGTTTAGAAATTTTTTGGTCGAATTTCTCGTTTAATTGAATGATATCGCAAAAAGAATTTCAAACGCGAATTATACCAAGAATTCTCTATAGGTTAGCACTCCTTTCCTCTCAAATAGAGCCATTTTGAACAGTTTCAAAAAAAGGTTTTGGGAAATTTTTGGATTTTTTTGTATTGCTCAATTATCGAAAGATGTATCGTAAAAAATACATATTTTAAATTCATTATATGCTATGCTATGTGCTAACAATTTATCCGTTTGAACAAAGCCACTTTTAACATTTAAAAAGAATCGAATTTTTTTGGAAAATATTTTCTCACTTTTCTCGCTTATTTAAAAATATATTTCGAAAAGGACTTCAAATTCCTCATCTGTAGTCAATACTCGATAAGCTAAAAATTGAAAATTTAAAAGAATCTTGGGGGTTCCTGATTTTTTATTTGAATTTTAAAAAATCTTGGGGGTTCTGGCGTTTTTACGAATTTTGTGGTTTTTGATAGAACATTTGGAAATAAACTTGTGGTGTGCCTCGTGCGTTTTTTTTTTGAAAAATTTGACGTTTTTTTTTTTATCTAGAACAATGAAGGTTCCTAGCGGATCCTTTTTTTGTAAAATTTTAAAAGAATCTTGAGGATTCCTGATTTTTCCTTTTTTTTGAAAAGTTGAAACAATCTTGGGGGTTCTTAATATATTTTTTTAATTTGAACGCATTTTGGGGCCCCTAATGGTTTTCTTTTGGAAGATTTTGAAAAATTTTTCGGATTTCTAACGGAAAAAATTTGAAAGAATCATGGCGGCCTCTGGCGGGCTTTTTTTGGAAAACTTGAAAGAATTACGCAGGCCTCCAACAGTTTTTTTTTTTTGAAAATTTAAAAGAATGTTGGGGGTTCCTAATTTCTTATTTGAATTTAAAAAAAAAACTTTTTTTTTTGAAGAATTTGAACGAATTTTGAGGTCCTTTGCAATTTCTTTTTTAGAACATTTTGAAGAAACTTGAGAGCCTCGTGCGTTTTTTTTTTTGAAAAATATGTTAAGAATCTTGTAGATCTCACTTTTTTTTTTAGTGTAAACGAATCTTGGGAGCCTCTGACTTTTTTTTAACAATTCAAAGAATTATGGAGATCGTCGGGGTTTGCTTTATTTTTATAAAATTTTAAAAGAACCCGTGTCTTTCTGGCAGGTTTTTTTTGGAAAACTTAAAAGAATATTGGCGTTCTTGATTTTTTTGTCGAAAATTTTTTAAAAATTTTGGGGGCTTCTGATTTTTTTTGGAAGAATTTGAAGGAATTTTGGCTCCCGTGAAGTTTTTTTTAAATCCACAAAATCTTAGGAACCCTTGACGGTCTCTTTTTAACATTTAAAAAAATCTTGGAGGTTCCTAACGGATCTTTTTTTTTGGAAAATTTTGGAACCGTTGACGAATTTTTTTAATTTAAAAGGATTTAGGGTCTCCGAAGTTTTTTATTTAAATAAATTTGGATCTGAAATAACAAATTTTTTTTGGAATTTTTTTGTTTTTTTTTTGGATTTCTCAACTATTTGAAGATGTATATTGTAAAAAATATTTTACACTCTCAATCTACAGATAATTGTTTATTAGTTAACAATTTTTCCGTTTGAACAGTCACTTTTACGTTTTGGAAATTTTTGAAAAATATTTTTTCATTTTTCTCACTTATTTAAAAATATATTGCAAAAAAAAATCAGATTCATAATCTCGATCAATAAATCTATAAGATAAAAGCGTTGACGCCTTAAAACATTTTTTGGTGAATTTTTGGAAATTTTTCACTTGAATTTCTGGCTTAATTGAAGAGATATCACAAAAAAATCTCAAACTCGAAATATACGAAGAATTCTCAATCGGTTAGTTCTTCTTGTCTCTCAAATTTTGAACAGTTTTTTTTTTTCGAAATTTCCTCGCGTTCTCACTCATTTGAAGATGTATTGTAAAAACATTTTACATTCATAATCTGTGGATAATTGTTAACAATTTTTCCGTTTGAACACAGCCAATTTCAAAGTTTCAACACAAATTTTGGAAATTTTTGGAAAATGATTTTTCACTTTTCTGTCGTGTTTAAAAATAAATTGCAAAGGGGACTTCAGATTCATAATCCAATTTTTTTTGGAAGTTTTTCGAAAATTTTCTCTTGACTTTCTCGCTAAATTTTAGCTCTTTTTTGTTTGAAATAGGCTATTTTGAACGGTTACAAACAAATTTTTTTTGTAAATTTTTGGATTTTTTTGCATTTTCCAATCATTTGAGAATATTTTACTTTCGTGTTCTGCGTGTGGACAGAGCCATTTTTAACATTTCCGAAAAACAATTTTGGAAATTTTTGTAAAATATTTTCTCTTTTCTCTCCCTTCTTTCAAAATATATTGCAAAAAATTCTTAATCTGCAGTGAGTACTAAAGTAAAGCTAAAAACTTTGCGCTTTGAAAAATTTTTCGAAAATGTTTAGAAATTTTTCTTGAAAAAAAGAACTTCAGGTTCGTAATGTGCTGGCAATTGTTCCGTTTGAAAACAAACACACTCCTATACTTGTGGTTTATGAATCCGTCTTGAGTTTTGCCCTCGACATAAAACGCAAATCGTATTCTTGACTACACGAGACAAATTTCAATATTGCATGATTAAAGTTTAATTACACTAATTATGTATAAAATATACGCACCACCTCGCTTGTTATCTTTTTAATTATGCGAAATAAATTGATTACCCAAGGAATTCATATTTTGCTGTTAAAAAATGCAGTAGAAATACGTCCTTAGTAAACAGTAAATTCGCAATGGCAAATTCCAAATCATCTATTGTTTGTAAATAACTTTTGTTGTTTTTGTTAACACCTTGATTAAACAACACCGCTACAAATACTTGTCAATAATATGTAAATAAAAAATACGAAACCTAAACTTGTCAAAAAATACAACTACACTAAATCTGTATAAATAGTCCAAGGGTCAAGTGTGAAAAAACTAAAATAGACAATTGACACCGAATTGCTATTATTAAGTTTGGAATGTAATAATATGACAAAAAATGTGCATGGTGACGATGATGTATGATAAAATATGTTAAACGAGTGAAATATTACTAGCTAGAGGTGTTTCTAAACACCCACAATAGCAATGTTAATGTTGGTACTGGTCACATTGATGCCAATGAATAATAATAAATTATGTCGAACTGTTTATAGTTGTGCTATTCTTATGTATGTTACTCACAAATGCACTTATATTAGCGACTTTTTAACTAACAACAATTTTCAATTCTTAAAATGTCGATAAACATTAATAAATAATTAAATATAATGCCTACTTGATAAGCTTGTATGTTGTTTTAAATTTTTTAATAGGGTTATTTATTTTCAAAAAATTGCGACTCAGTTTATTTTCGAAAACTCTTCAGTCAAATATTCTACAAGTTTCGGTTGTTGCAAATTTTGTGTTATTTTCATTATAGTTAAATAATCGGTAGTGATTTTACGTTACGTAAACATAACTTAATGTTGTGGTTAATGATAAAATTCCCCATATATTTTGTAAAAAGTTAACTGACGTCGTAAAATTACTTAATGGTCAAAAAACAAATTTCAGTTAGTTGTTGTTTTAACGGTATGACGTCTGTCGATTTTCGCATTTTTCTACATATTTTTTTTAGATTAACATTTTGTGTGACATTCTGAGATTATTTTATTC